GGAATGCCCCAGATGTGTTTGAAGAGACTTGCACAGTAATTTGCAAATAATCTGCATCAGCTCTCTGGTTCAAGATGCATGTGCTGGGTGGTGGAGGGTGACCAAGAGGAGCAAACGGGTTTGAGAGGGGACTGGAGGGTGGGAGAGGGGTGGGGGGAAGGTTCTAGAATAAGGCTGCTGCTTTCTCAAGACCACAACTACACCAGGTATAGGACAGGGCAAGTGCTAGGAAAATTGTCACAAAGCTTTGCTATCGTTTTGAAGATGGATTTTCTTGATTGGGCATTTGCTTGTTTGTTGTAAACTTTTGAGTGTTTTCCAGAGCTCCTACAAAGTTTGTTCAGACAGCTTCTGGTTGTTTTTTCAATGTTTCTTTGGCAAAAGGAGAGCTTGGTGGTTTACAGTCTGCCATTTTGCTATCAGCACATGTACCATAAGATTTTAATAAGATAAATCCATGTGTACATATTATTTTGCAACCTGTTTATTATTCATTGATATATTCTATATATTTTTCCTGGTCAGTATTTTCTTTCCATTATTCCTCACGGGTACATAATAATATAAATACTAAGTGGGCTTAGATTTTGGAACCAAATCGTCACGTACCTGCTGTTGGGGAAGTTCTGGGCAAAGTGAGGAGGTACCAATGTGAGAGGCTGCCCACTTTGCTGGGGGAATGGTTATAGGTGAATACAGCAGAATACTGATACAAAAGGATCCAGATTCACCCTATTTATATTATTGAATCCAAGAAACTTTCGCTTGTGATGTAAGAGACTGGGGGCAAGGGAGATACTGGTCACTTATGAGGAAATAGGGAATGGTGTGGACAAAAGGCAGCACTAGTGAATGATGAGCCTTGCACCATATCCTGAGTTTTCACTACCCATTCAGAGAAGTCACAGTAGCCAGAGCACACCAGAGAGACGAAGGACTCAGCTTCATCCATCTCCTCAAGAGTCTTAAGGTGTGAGAAGGTAGATATTTCCATTCTCGTTTTCCCTTCACACCTTAAGAAACCAGAATCTGAGTTTGGTGGTGATTTGACCAGCTCTCCTGCTTTTAACTTTCCCTGCTGGGAAGACGGGATTCACATCCATGTACATACTTCTTCCTGCTTTGTAGTATTTCTTCAGAATACATTTGTAGAAATAGAATTTCAGTTCAGCAGTATATACACTTTAATTACCCTTGATACACTTTGTCAGGCAAGTTTCTTGGCCATGAAGTTAAGTCTAAATAAAAATCAAACATCTTACTCTCTTGTTAAATGTCATTTTGCTATGTTAGACCAGAAATATCTTTCCCCTACTGGACATTGAGAGTTGATCCCTTGGGCATGGCTGGAGTGATATTAGAGAAGAAGGGAGAGAAACTCAACCATGACTTCTTGGTATGGGCAACTAAAAGGAGAGTATACAATATGGTGAACCATATTCTTCCCATTACACTTGCCAAACATTTAGATGAAATCTTATCCGTGAAGGGGATCTGAGCATAAGGATGCCAAACTGCTGTTTGTTGAAGTTCTCTAAAGGATGGGGGCGAGGCACATGGGGATTGGGAGTATGCTTCATTCTTGAAAAGGCGTTTGCCTGATGAAAACTGCAAGAACCATTCGTAACAAAGCAAGGCAATATGAAACCACGCATTATAGTATAAATCTGCTTTATTTAGCAATACAAGTGAGCAAAGAGCAGAGGAAGCATCACAGGGATACAGACCTCCATACATCATAGAACTAGTCACTTGTGCTTTCATGATCACTGCAAGGGAGGAACACACCACCTGTGAGATGGGACACAAGGGGCCAGTGGAAAGCTAGGGGGATTGCTCTGTTCTGGAGTAGGACCCAGCCAGGGACATTCTGATGGTGAGCAATGGAAGCTCAGATGCAGCAGGTGTGGCAGAGAGGACATGAGGGCACTCAGCAACTTCAGTTCTAACTCAAGGAGTAAGAGAAGAAAGAAACAGGAGAGAGGAAGCAACTGGAGGAAAGGGTAGTGAAGCTGGAGAGGGAGCCTGAGACGCTGTGGGACCATGAGCCCATGGCAGGCGTTCAAGGCTTGTAGCCCTTCCTGCCGGAGGAGGAGGTGGTGGTGAATTTGACGGTGGAACTGCTGCCCCCGGAGGAGCTGAGGCCACCACATATGGCTCTGCCACTGCCGGAACTGAAGCCACCTCCAACGCTGTAACCACTGCCGCAAGAGTAGCCACTGCCTCCGCCCATGCCTAAGCCACTGCTGACACCGCCGGCACCGCCATAGCCACTGGAGGTGGTGGACTGTACCACGGCTGGAGAGGCAAGGGGACAAGGCCATGACAAGACATGGTGAGCTCACTGCCACACAGAGTCCAGTCAGAAGAGCACAAGGGCAAGGGAGGGAGGCAAGTGAAGATACTTACAGATGTTGACTTGTCCAGCGCCTTCCCCATACAGCCTAGGAGAGAGGAGACACAGCCATTATGAGACCTCAGAGCCAGAGCTGGACCAGCATGGGAAGCTTTGGCATGAGGAGAGCCCATGGGGAACGTGCCTTCTACGTGGTTTTCTGGGAGTGGCATTATGGCCACGACTAGAGTGCCTTCCACTGGTGCTCACTGGCTGGACACCTTGGAGACGGACCCAGATGTTTGAGGAGGCTGTGTGAGTTACTCACCTGCACTCCTCGCCCTCCAGCAGCTTCCTGTAGGTGGCGATCTCCACGTCCAGGGACAGCTTGACATTCATGAGCTCCTGGTAGTCCCTCAGTAGCTGCGCCATGTCCTGCTTGGCCTTCTGCAGGGCATTCTCCAGCTCGATCAGCTTGTTCTTGGCATCCCTGAGGGCCATATCCCCACGCTGCTCTGCATCGGCGATGGCGGATTGCAGGTTGGTGCACTAGAGGGGAAGATGGGCAGATGAACCTGCAATCTGGACTCCTGAGGAGATGAACCATGGTTCTTCTTTCCCAGTGAGGAAGAGCTCTAGAGCCCAGCTTCCATGGAAAAGGAGGTTTGATACGTTTTGTCCAGTCTTTTTCCATTCTGCAAACCTGAACTAGGCTAGGAGCTCCCTATGCGCTTCTGTGTTAATCACCCTAATGAAGATGAAGGTGGTGACTGCTGGAAGACACTACAGCAGACCCAAGACCAGGGGACATTGGAAGAAATGGACCCACTGGCTTCTTCTGAATACTGGCAGTTTGGGTAAGTTCATGTGGGTGCACACTAACTCACACAAAACTACAGACACCCACAGTAAGGAGATGATTTCACTTTAAACTGTTGTGACCTTGCCTTCCTTCCACTTCACATTTTTGGAAAACCCTCATTTGTCCTGTGTCTTTTCTCACCTTCTTTTTACATCAAATCTGAGCATATTTGCAGCAACCTTCCTCACACTTTCTGGCCTGACCTTTTCTTTGCCAACTTGTGTCTTGCATTCCCAAATCAATCATTCCTCTTATGGAATCTCATTTCAGCGCCTCAAGACCTTATCTCTGTACCACTGAGCAGTCGGGATTGGTCCTGTCATGCGTTTGTTTCCTGCTCTTGGGTTGGGATCCATCTCTCTAACCTGTGGGAACTCACTAAGGGAGGAAGTACATGTCCTCCCCTCCCTGCTGTTCCCTCAGTGCCCAGGAATTCCCTACATGGTGGTTGATGATCCCTGGTGGTCTAGGAAGGAAAGGATGCTTTTCTCCTCCATGGTCCCCACCATACCTGCTTCTTGACGTGGTTGATCTCAGATCTCAGCCTCTGGATCATGCGGTTGATCTCAGAGATCTCCTGCTTGGTGTTGCGCAGGTCGTCCCCATATCTGAACGCCGAAACCTGCAGCTCCTCGTACTGTAAACCAGAGGGAGAGAGGATGGTGTTCATGGGCTTCACAGGACACTAATCAAGGTTTTCACAAATGGAAACTAATGGTTCCTCCACAAGGCGTTTTAAGAAAATTGGTGTTACAAGGTCATGGACACTGTACACCCATCACACACCACCCTTGGTAGGACCACTGACTGCCTGGCTCTCTTCAGGACCAGAACATCCTCTGTACTGTTTCTGAGAACCAGCATCAGGGTGAAGCTAAAGCAAAGATCCCTTGGCCTTTATCTATGGTAGCTCTTGTCCTACATTTAGGTTCTTTGACTTACTAGACTTGGACATAAATACTGTAAAGATCTACTCTGTTGGTTCAGGGTACACGTTCTTTGAGAGGAGCCCCGCTTCCTAGATGTAGATTTCCCGAGTGAAGTCTCGGGAAGCCTTGCTGGTCTTCAGGGAGGAGGTACAGGGATTCTTCATCAGCTTCCCCCTCACTGCTCACCTTGCACTTGTACCAGGACTCGGCCTCCTCCCGGCTCCTGTGAGCGATCTCCTCATATTGGGCTTTGACTTCAGCGATGATGCTGTCCAGGTCCAGGGTGCGGTTGTTGTCCATGGAGAGGACGACAGAAGTATCTGAGACGTGGGTTTGCACCTGAGCCAGTTCCTGCAGAACATGAAATCGTCAGATTCTCTTTTCCCATGACATTTACAGAGGTACCCAAGCCTAAGATTTTCCATCCTTTGCAAATCTCTTTAGAGTCAATAAAGCAGAGTGTGGAAAGATGCTTACTGCTTCATAGAGGGCTCTGAGGAAGTTGATCTCATCCATGAGAGCGTCTGCCTTGGCTTGTAGATCAACCTTATTCATGTAAGCAGTATCCACATCCTGGGGAAGAAACCAACAACTTGGGATCAGATGAGCCAAGCCCTCCTTCCCAGTCTGCTCCTCCTTTAGTCTCGCTGATTATTCTTTTCTCAGAGTCCTCTCCTTCAGCAAAGAAACATGAACCCCTGATCTTACTCATCTCACCTTCTTCAGATTCACAAATTCATTCTCTGCTGACATGCGCTTGTTGATTTCATCTTCGTATCTGGAATTAGAAAGTGTAAAACCTAATTGAGTCAGTGATGAAGATGATACAGAAAAGGCAGCCTGGGATCCCAACTTCCCACAATGGATATATCCAAATGGAGCTTTCCTGCCAGTAAGCCTAAAAGATGAATTCTGTGGTCCCTAAATTGTTTACATCTTTACTCTCCCCATCCACCTGTATGGTCCTTTTGTTCTTCAGGGTTTGTGTTTAGGCAAGAATTGTGGTTTCATTTCCATGGACACGTTTTACTAAGAATCATGCCCTCATTTGGACCTGGTCATGTAATAGACTTGAAGCGTGGGCTTCAGGAAATTGAGCCCTTTTCTTTCCTGTAACTCACTTCTTCTTGAAGTCCTCTACCGTGTCCTGCATCCCCCTGAGCTCTGAGTCCAGGCGGCCTCTCTCCATGACAAGGGAGTCCAGCTGTCTCCTGAGATTGTTGGTGTACTGCTCGAACAAAGGGTCCAGGATTCCCGTCACGGTCTTGGTGCCCTGCTCCTGCAGCAGGGCCCACTTGGTTTCCAGGACCTTGTTCTGCTGCTCCAGGAATCGGACCTGGAGAAAGACAAGATGGTTATTTGTCCAACCAAGGAAAGAAGGAAGGAAGGAAAGAAGGAAGGAAGGGAGGAGGGAAGGATGAGAGGTGAGTTGACTGTCCCCAAGCAGATCTGATGGTCCCCATGGTGCTGGGCTACTCCAGAGCATGTACAGTGGCTCAGGCTGATAGTTCTGCTCCCCTGACTGTTTTCCTTCACACCACACAGATCTCACTGGCCAAGTTTCCCCAGGGAGCTACCAGATAGTCCCTCTTCTCAATTACGGAGCCTGTCAGTCAGTGACTTTCAACATTTCTTTTCTTCCTCTTGATGAGCACAATCACAAACGTACTTTAAAATAGTATTTCTCTCGTATATTGCACAGAGTTATTTTATAGAGTGTATCTCAGTTAAAGGGATGTCAAATGTTTAGAATCTAATGGTTAAATTCCAACCCTATTGATGATTGGATTTAATCTTCTTTCCCATCTAGTGTATGAGTCCCTCTAAAACAAGCTCCCTTAATGCTCATGATCTGGTTCTACAAGATAAGTATTTCTATGCACATATACATGTTTCTGAGTCCTTTTTTCCTGGCATTTCCTTTGGTTTTTTATCTTCTTTCCTTCCCCGCTGCCATCCCAGCTAAGGTTCAAGTGCTGTTTCCACTGTAATTCCCTTTTTAATTTCTTAGACCCTTCAGAAGATCAAGCTAACTCGTTCCATTCTCAGTTCCTTTCCTTTGCTTGGGGGTTATCAAGAGTGGAGAATACTTCCCAGACAGGAATGAAGACATTTAAGGGATCAGTAGTTGTAAATGATTTTTATCACCTTCTGTCTGTGGCCCACATGGAGCCTGTCCTGCATCCCAGTGGAGAGCTAGCCCGAGTCCCCTCCTCCCTCTCTCCAGAGGCTCCCCCTGGTAGGACACTGGTTGCGTCTCTCGACTGGGGACTCTGAAATCCCAGTGGAGGGCAGGTGCTCCCGGCTCACCTTGTCGATGAAGGAGGCGAACCTGTTGTTGAGGGTCTTGATCTGCTCCCGCTCCTCAGTCTTGATCTGATGGATGTTGGGGTCGATTTGCAGCTTGAGGGGAGTCAGGAGACTCTGGTTGATGGTGACCTCTTGGATGCCTCCAGGGGGGCAGACGAGGGAGCCAGAGCCCCCATAGCCACCACCAAAGCCAGCTCCACCACCGAGCCCAAAGCCACCACCAGCTCCACCGCCGAAACCAAATCCACTCCCGGCTCCACCTCCAAAGCCGAGACCGCCTCCAGCTCTGCCGCCATATCCGCCACCGAGGGCACAGCTGCCCCCTCCGAGGGAGATCCTCTTGGAGCCGCCCACGCCATAGAGGCTGCAGCTGCCAAAGCTAGCTCCTGCACCTACTCCAGTGAGGCCACCACTGCCTCTGGAGCGGCGCACGGGCATGCAGCTGAAGCCAGAGCGGTTGACCCCAGGGACTCTGGCTGAGCCGGCACTGAAGATTTGGCGGCTGCTGCTTTGGCTTTTCACGGTGGATTTGGAAATCATGGTTCCTGAAGTCGAAGAGGCGGAAGAGGGTGTGAGAGGTGGAGGGTAGAGCTGAGAAGAGCAGTTCAGTGAGACGAGGTTCCCAGCAGTGGCTTATATATGGGGAAAATGGGCTGGGCTCAGTGCTGGGAGGTGAGCCTGCAGGTTCGGAAGGCTGGGCTTTACAAACAGTGAGATCACATGTGGTTTATTAGAAAAGTTATGAAATCTGAAGATCGCATTTTAGGTTTCCTTTAGTCAGGGAAAATTTTTCCTGCCTTCCAGCTTTGACTGCTCTCAGTACAATAAGACAAGTCTGAATTCACTTAGTTGGGAGTTACTCACTGACTCACACAGAGGTTCTCCATGTTATGCTCATGTATGAAATGTACTGAGGCTCCTCTGCTTTGGTGTTTCACCCACAAGGCAGAAATACTGGAGATCAAAATAACCTATTGCTTATCCCTTACCTATAATTATTAGTGTTTTCACTGATTACAGAAGTTAAACATGACTTTTTTTTGCTTTCATTAAAAATTTCCCACAGGTAGATATGTAGATTTACAATATAATGGGCCTCTGTATATCTATCACTGGATTTTATACAAATTATTAACTCATGGTCAGCCTTATTTCTTCTATACTCCCACCCAATTCCCTATCAATCTTAAAATATTCAAAAGCATATCCCAGAGGTCATACCATTTCTTTAGTACAGAATTCAACATTTATTTTGTAAATGAGGTGCTTTTAAAATACATAACCAAATACCATTTATATATCCTTAATATTTATGTATTCATTAACATTAAGGACTGTCTATTCAATCTTGAACTAAATCTGTTTGTGTTATTTATATTTTATGTTTTGGTTGTCCAAATCAGGATTCTAATAAGTTCCATACATTTTGTATTTTGTTGATATGTCTTTAAAGTAATACGTCTGTAAAATCATTTAAGTCCTTAAATCCTCCTCCGCTTTTCCACTTGCAGTTTATTTGTGAAAAAAATAAAAAACAGGTTATTTGTCCTGTGCATTTGCATAGTCATGTTATCTTATTTAACATGATCTCGTGTCCTTTGTGTATCCTGTAAACTGACAGTTCAAGCTAGAAGCTTAATAAGCTATCTATTTAAACATTACAGATACAGATGTCATAGAATGCCTATTTATATACTGAATATTGATATTTACACACCTACTTATTAACTGAAAAATTAAACAAGTAATACATGGTTAAAATTACATTTCCAGTAATACATGGAAAAAATTACATGCTCAAGATCATTCCCCACTCCTCTCTAGGAAGACAAAGCAGTGTTGCCACTTCCCTGTGTACCCTTGTAGTCACGTCACTTAGATATGTTTCTGTGTTTTTCCTTGGGTATGTGTGATGCATGCGAGAATATATATTGACTATATACATACAGATATATATGAAACACACATATATATTTTCTTTTGCAGTTGCACTCATGGTGTATGTACTTTGTCTCCCATATCTATGTTTTCACTCGATTCTCATGCTATTTCCTACAGGCTGTTTTCTCCACCTTTACCTGTGGTCCATTGCTGTGCATCAGCACCGTCTTATGTTGCTTTCAGCTTAGCCTTCATTTCTATTGTGGCTTTATCTTTCTTCTCTGCTCCTTTTCTGAGCTCTATCAACTAATAGTTTAATCTTTTATTTCTCATTCTACTGCCCCTTTGTTCTCTTATTTCACCGTGGTGTTTATTTCATTGCCTTTTCGGTAATAATTTTTGTCACTTTTTTCTGTTGAGTGTTTTCTAAGTGACTTTTGTTTTTCTGTTTCAATGTAAAGTATCCTTTGTGGGGCCTGGAATGGTTCCTTTCTAACAAGGGCTCATCTTTGAAAGAGGCAAGCTTCTTCTGGACCTGTCTTTTGCAGACAGTATTCTGGGAGGAGGGGCCAGGCTGCAACCAGGCTAACAGGAATTCTCATTATGTCACAGGCTGTGTGAATAATTCTTTTAATTTTAATTAGACGAAGCCAAGGAAGATGGCTGCAGCGTGGCTCGCAGTTCAGTCTCAGTCTTCTTTGCTTCCCCGACAACCTGTTGCCAATAGGCCTTGCCTCTGATCCCTTACGCAACCCTGCCTTCACTGGGTCTTGAAACTTCATGGCAAATGGGTCCTCCCTGGAACACACACACCCACTTCTGACTGTTGCAAACCAGCGATTCTTGGATTTGCACCTGAGGATGTGTTCTTCACATTCATACAGTAGGAGTTACATGAGTCAGCAGTGCCTGGCAGTAGGAAAACCTCAGGGTTAACTTTGTGTGCTGTCCCTCTGTGGTTACCACATTGTTTAGTTTTGATTTGTTTGCTCTCAAGAGTGTTCTTCACTGGATTTTCTGAGATCTGCACTGAGGGCATCTTCTCTCTCAGTTTCCCAATAACTGTGTTTGATTTCTTTCTTTCTGTGAGAAGAGTTTTCTATTTTTTTATTATTTTTTATTTTTTGATTGAAGGACTTTAAGGTGTTTTCCTTTTGGGGGTTGAGTGTGGAGATTACTTTTACATTTCTTGTTCTCCTTGTTTGTTTTAAGATAATATCTGAGAAGGGTAAATGCCTCCCTTTCCTCCATTAGGCTACATTCAGAAGTCTCCCATTCATATATTTATATTTAAAATACATATAGCATTTAAAATATTAAGCAATAATTGAAATTCAAAATATTAATTTTCCTTTCTCATGCTGCATGGAAACTATTGGATTCAATGAAGACATCATTGTGCTCAGGGCCTCTCCCTTCCCTGAGCCATGTAAGAGTCACCTGAAAGTTTTCTACAAGCCATCATATTTACCATCATCAGAAATTTAATCCCAAAATATATTTGTGTTCTCCTCAGTGGAAGAACCTCCTTTATTGCTTAATCATAGTTTGCATCATTGAAAGCCGAACAGATACAATGAAAGAGAATAGTCTGTAAACCACCGTGTACCAATCCCCCAGATTAAACACTTATCCATATTTCTCAGCATGTCTCATCTAATTTCACTACTTCTTATATTGAAATCTTCTACTTCTGTTGATGTATCTTCAAGGAAATTAAGACATTAAGTCATTTCACTTGTCAGTATTTGCATGTATGTCTAAGTTCTCAAGGACTTTTAAATCTAACTGTACAACAGTTTTATATCGATCATGAGCAACAGTCACTTCTTAATGAAACCTAATACTCATTTATGTTCATACTTCTCTGATAATCTCAAAGATGTCTTTTTATGCTGGTTTGCTTGAAGCAACATCCTAACTAGATTCACATATTGCATTGGACTGTTGGCTCTCTTAAGCTTCTTTCATTCTGTAATAGATTCCATTGTTTTCTTTTACATACCACTGATTTGTGGAGAAATTGTTTTTTTCTCTAGAACGTCTACATTCTGGATTTGACTCGTTGTTTCTGTTGGTGCCATGTAACTTGTAACGCTGGTTTTTCGTAGGTACTAGTTATATTAGAGTTGATTAGATTTAGTTCCATTGTTTCAGGCAAGATTATGTCCCAGCCGGTGCTGTGTGCCCCATGTTGCATCAGATCATGAGGCATATAATACAAGTTGTTCAATTTTGTGATGTTAAGACTGATCCAGGTATATCTATAGTTCCAGTCTTAACCCTCCCTGAAAAAGTGTCCAATAAATTTGTCATGTAATATTTTAATATTCATTGATCAATTCCAAGATTGACATTTCATGAGGGGTTGCAAACTGGTAACTTATTAATTTAACATCCTGCCTCTGCATTTATCACCTGGGAGTCATCTATAAGGAAGGAATTGTCATGGTTTCCTTTTTAGGTAACCTAATATGTAGTTAATCGATACAGGAAAGGCAGAACAAGTGCTTCTTTCTCTTTATTTTGCAATTTTAGAATAGTAGGTTGGGACCCCAGCAATTTCCAAATGTAGTAAAGAAAGTTATTTTTTGTTTGTTTGTTTTTGGGGTTTGTATAATTATAAATTCACAGTTCAAAAAATATATTTGATATGTTTGAGTCCATTGCAGGCATTAATCCTTCCGGTGCTTAAACTGTCCATTTTAGGCCAATGGGAGCTCCTCAGATTGGCTTCTGTGTCCTTTTGACAGAAACGCATTGGACTTTGAAAGCTTCCTTGTTGACAGGGACGAGATGTCTCAAGGCTACCTTGTACTTATCTTGCAACAGACATGGAATCAGCCATTTCTGTGAGTGGTTCTGGTACCTTTTATCGAGAAATGATATTAACAAGCTAAAATTTGCATGCTATGGGTGCTCATTGTTACTGGGTTATTCTTGCTTTGAAGACTTTTCAATGGATAGAGCTAAGAAAAATGTAAAAATATAATGAAAAAGTACTCAGATCAGAAGTTTATACTGATATTTCCAATTCAAATAGAATACAGGATGATTTTATACCTGTATTTATTTTACTCTGAAAAGCTGAGCTCTGAATGACATGTTACTTATTTGCTTTATCCTACAACAAACCTATGATAGTGTCAAAATAACAGTACAAATATTATTACAAAAAAGAGGTTTATTAAATGCAGTTTCTGATTTCTTTGTGGCTACACCCTGAAAGTGCTATGAAGAAAATCAGATTAGGCAAGAGGAATGGAGAGATAGAAAGGCGGGATGAAGGGAAACCTTCATAAGAATCCAGATAAATTCTAGTCTTGCAGGTTCAAACAGAAGCAGGAAGGAAAAGTCTTCCATTATTACACTTGATGGAGAGGAGTTTCTTAAGGGAGGGAGTACAGATACAGATGGCAGTGGGGTTAAAGAAGGGGGTTCTATAGGTGCATGAGGAGGTTGGGGACAGTAAGAATGTTAGGGAAAATGGCACATCTGAGTGGACCAGCCTCCCAGACCTCAAGAGGATGGTTTTCCTCTGCCACTCACCTTCTAGTGCTAAAGGGACACCCCTGGAGCCCAGGAAGTGAGAGCATTGAGGAGAAGGCACTGCTCAGCAAAACTCATGGTTAAAGGAATCCAGCTGCTGTTAGAGAAGA